GCGCGAACCAAGACTTGTTCAAAAATAAGATTATTTACTTATGTTAGTGAAATAGCGCAAGTTATTTCATTTACCCTAGGCCCGGAACTGCAGTTAGGCACTTCGTTTGCCCTCCTGTTGGTGTCTGTAGTCTGTACCTGATTTAGCTCTTATAACAACAACTGCCACTAAATGTAATAACATAATGTAATTAACTACTTTACTCATTCTATTTACTAAAATAGATAAATTAGGTTCGGAAAAACGAGCTTCGGACAATCGGAGCCGTCTCCAGAATAGTGTATTTCGACTAACGGAGGAAGAAGAACAGCGGGTAGAACATGAACGTTACCGATTGGTCGAGAGCTTCCCGCCTCTACGTAACGTCGGTAGAAGGGGTAGGCACTCGGCCAATCAGGAACCTTTATGTTCTACCCGCTATTCTTCTTCCTCCGTTAGTCGAAATACACTGTGTCCTCTCTTCGGTACGAACTTTCTCTCCCCCCCCCTTTTTTTCCTTCCTTCTTGGCGAGGGTTTTGAAAACGGTCGCTGTTTGCGGACCGGTACCCCGGACTTGAACGAAAGAGTTATACTCAACTCTCTCGTTGAAGCCTCGGAGTAAGGTGTAATGTAGATCTCCATTACACCTTACCCCGGAGTGGTCGGTGGTCAGCAACCTTACCTCATGCCAAAACGGTTCGAAATACCGGTACACATGAATTTGGCTGTCGGACGATCGTTATTTTGTAGCTACCCGAAATCAAAGTTAGTTCAAATAGTATGAAACAGAACACAGTGCAAAATTAGATTCGACTAGTCCAACGGAGGATAGGCAACCCGCTTTCGGCTTTGCTGTAAAATCTTGGAGAAGAGATATAAAACATTGATTTCTCCATAAAAGGCTTTTATTTAAATAACTAGAAAAATATACAAAACTTACACTTACATTTTGTTTGATTAAAAGACTGTTCTTTTACAGACTAGAACCTTTCCACTGGTATCAAAATTCAATATAGGTATAAGGAAATTATGTGGTGCACAGCCTTTCTTGAACCTGAGTTTAAAAGCACATTGAAACTTGTTAGTGCGAATCGGTCCGTGCAGATTCACCGTTATACGTTACAATCGGGATCACGCTTTAACAAAGACCGCGTAACAACGTAAAATAATACGTTGAGTACAGGATTTTGCAGGGGGAAATTGATTGCATTTAGTTTCTGGAGACTTTCCAAAAGATAATAGGCTTAGAAAGGGAGCCGTCCGTGCTCAGTAGTCTTGCCGCAAACAACATTGGTTTTCAGTCAGCGTTTTGTTCATTTAATAAAATAAGAACTCTTTGATTTTTCCACTTTCTTCAAAGCAAAAAAGTATTCTAAGCGGGATCACGCAGTAGTGGCTCACGTCGTAACAGCGTAATTTACCTTTAAAAAAATCTAAATGCAGCAGTGAAGCGAAAATATTGCGTAATAGGCGGGTGTATGTTACAACGGGGTTCGCACTAACGAGGTTTCACTCGACACTTCTCACAAAGAGAAGACAGTTTCTCTAATCAAGCACGTCAAACACTCATCTTTTACCTAAATGAAACTGTAACATCAAGGAGTAATAGTACTGTAGATGCTCAAAAACATTTTCTTGCATGAGCATAAAACGAAACATGCAAGAGATCAAGTTCACAGGAATTCATTAGACATAATGATAAATAATGATTCATAATTTTACAAAAAGTAAAATTAGCATAAAAATAAATAGACGGAAGTACAGAATGAAATAGGTACATAGTTCTTGTTAAGGCCTTAAAAGAAGCTAGGCAAAAAAACTGCTATCTTTAAGGTTTTCGACGAACATAATTCCATAGCACTTCATTTTCACAGTGGCCTCTTACTTCGTGGAAGCAATTTCGTTGCCTAGCATCTGTTAATAAATTATTCCACATATTATCCCTCTGAAAATTTAAAAAAAAAAAAAGGTTAGATGCAAGAGTATAATACGATTTTCACAGAATGAATGAATATTGAGACATTACCACTTCTACAGATAAGATTAGATTTAAAAGACAATTTTTTTTGAAATCAGATGCAATAGTACTCACGTCTAATGATGAAAAATTGCCACAAATGAACTCGGCATATTTAGCGCGTGTCAACGCCACATTAATTCTCTGGCGATCCGAAAGGAATCCAACACCGTTTGTCCGGACACAAGAAATTATAGTGACATCTTTTTCTTGGCCTTGGTAGCTGTCAATTGTATTTACTTCAATCAAGTCACGGTATGCTCTGTCACAAAAAAATAATTGATAGATAAAACACTACAATCGAGAAAGTGAACAACTTCATCTGAAAATTTAATGAGAAATAAATTTCTTTACCTCTCTTGGAGCATAGAACTGATTGTCCTCCTTTGACTTTGGTAAGGTGTGATTATACCCACCTTAAACTCTGTAGCAATAACTTTTTTATTTATCAATACTTCAGCTAATTGTAGAACCAATTTAGCTTCATCAACATTAACCTCCCTGCAAATACAAAGCAGATAAACATAAATTTGTTAATAGAGACCTCTCCTGTCGTATTTGATAAAAAAAAAAGCTTGGGAGCAAGAATTTTACCCTTGTCTATCTTGTTGAAATGGAAGACTTAGAACAGCATATGGGATAACTTTAGAGTCCCGGCAAAATGACAGACTCTCAGGTGTTTTTAATCGTCTGTTGTAGAAAAATTTGTTGGGCCATCTCAAAATTTCAGGATGCATACGATACTGTGTGTCGAGAAGTTGAGGGGCTTGTGGAAAGATTTTCTGTAGTCTTGCAAATAAAGATGTTCCCAATCCTTTCTCTCGAGCAACCTTAAACCACACAACAATGTTAAAAGTGTTGTGGTAACCAAATAATAAATAATTAACAGAACATACAAGGAAAAAAGTGTTGTGGTAACCAAATAATAAATAATTAACAGAACATACAAGGAAAAATGCTTTCACACAAATGGCAGTTTTTTTTTACCTTTGACAATATTGTTGCTGGAAGTTGATTAGGATCTCCAACTAAGACCAAAGTTTTCACCCCTAGCAACAGTGGAATAAGGGTTTCAACTTCTAAGCACTGTGTAGCTTCATCTACTATACACACCTGGAAGTGGTATTTTCCCTGACTGAAAACACAAAGGAGCTTTAGACACTGTCAACTAGGAGGTGGAAAATTGATTGTGTTGTCATTTGTCAAAAATACTTTCATATACATACTCATATACTGGTGGAAAAACATTCTCCATAACTTTAATCATACATGAATTGAGAGTTGTGGCAACAATGTCAGCACCTCTCAGGATTTTCGTCATGGCTGCACGCTCAACTGCAAAATTTTGTCTGGAAGAGTTTTGGGCAGCATGACTTTGCTGCAAAATGACACACATAAAATATAAGTCACAATGTTCCAAGAGGTTTGAAAGAAATATATATGGCCATGTGATTGAAACTGAAGCAAACAAACCAACCTGTTTGCTTCTGTCTTCAAGAACTCTCAGTTTTCGAAGAATGTCAGCTTGACGGAATGTCAATTCTTGAGGTATATTTTTGTCTTTCAGCCTTAAGTTTTCTATAACATCTTCAAGGCTTCGGAGCTTTGCTTTCAAGCTTTCAATATCAACGTTATGTGTGGCAGTTTTATCTTGTTTCTCTACGTCAGCCTTGGCAAGTTCTTGAAGGGACACACCTTTTACATCTTGTTGCATGTATTGAGGTTGGCCAACACGCACCATCTTAAAGCGGAGGCTTTCTGTAACAATTAAGGAGGAGTTAAAAATTGTGAATAGATCAATACATTATGAATAATGTAATGTACCGTAATGAATAAAAAAAATCACATACTATCTAGTTTTGATCTCTTTCGTAGCAACCTTCGAACTAACAGGTCAACTGCATTGTTAGAGGGTGCACAAACCAAAACTCTGGGGACCAAGCCTTTTTCTCTGTTTGCTTTAGAGTAGATGCTATCTCTATACAATAACTGCATCACAAGGCTAGCTATAACATGCGATTTACCAGTTCCTAAATGAATCAAAGGACAATATAAGTATATTAATACATTAGACTAGAAGAATGCACCCTCATCAGAAAAATAAATAGTGAAACAATTACCTGGTGGACCTTGTATGAGGCATATTTTGGGTTTAACTTCTTGACAAACTGCAGCTGTTTTCAAGACAACTTTTACTTGGGTCTCGTTTAATTGCTCCTACAGCATTTACAACAAAACAAAATTGACAGTGGAATGAAAATTAAATAAATTACATAAATCAATTGATATCTTTTATACAATAACTGTATAAGAATTTGTGCACATTTCTTACAGGATATGCTAGATTGCTGTTTATTTCTGGAAGAGTGAAATCTTCATTTGCTGCCGAGGGCGAAATAATGCTGTACTGTAATGGCATATATTCAAGATTTTTCATTGCTTGAAAGACCCGTAGGTCACCCCGAATATATTTAACATTCTGGAACAAACACTTAGTATTGATAGAGTAATGAATGAAGTGCAGTATTTTAAAATTAATAATTTACTCACTTTAACACGCATAACCCCTTTATTGAATGTGCAATTTTTGCGCTCTCTAATCATAACTGAAAAGCGTATTTTATATGCTGGTTTATGGCAATGCGTTACTGTAATTGCAAGGGAGATAAAATAGATAGCGCATAATTTTTAAGGGTTATTGAGATAATTTTATCTCAGTAATTGAAGGAACGTATTTGATTGAGATGTTTAACTAACCTAGATCTTTGTGAACTTGATCAGACTGTCGAAGACGATCTTTGGAGTCAAATGACACATACCCAAATACAGGGATAACAACTAACTTGTCTGCAGGATCCTTTAAACAAAGATCAATGACCACCAAATTTCCAAGTCTGGGATGGTCTGTTCCACCTCTTTCATCCACAATCACTGAAACGAGGAAAATTATCAGAATATTTGGAATGGAACAAAAAGGATAAATAATCAGAGCCTATAGACGTACTATGACAGTGCAGGGTTGTTAACATTCTGTCTGGCCTATGATAAACAGCAGATGAGGTAGCACTATCAACTGCCATTATCATGTTTTTCCTACAAGACAAGAAAGAGAAGATTCTTTGGGTTTCTTGAACAGATACATAGCTTATGTTCACAATCTTCTTATTAAACAAACCTTGATTCATTAGAATTGTACTGTTTAGAAACGCCATTCCACAACTCCAACATAAGAAGTGGATACATTGTGTCATGATACTCTTTAAAATCTAAAAATTCTGTTTTAGGTATTGTTGGCAAATCCATATTTGATACTACTGGGGGAGATACATCAGCAGGCAAATTTTTTTCTTCCTAAAACAGTAAGATTAGATTTTTAAAATTTCACAAGATGAAATATTTAAGATACATTAAAAACACATTAATTGTAATTACACTACCAATAAATAATTTCTTGATGCTTACCTTAAGCCACAGAGGATTCCATTTGGAAATATCATAGATGACATCTTGCAAGACTATTTCATCAGAGGGCATAACTGGTGCCTTGAAGGGCATGGGGGGAGCAGCCAAAGAAACCTGACTCATGGGCTTTGGTCTATCAGCATCCATGGAAGACCCGACTGGTCTTGTATTTGGCAGTCTCTCAATTTCTCGATACTCAACAAGATTTTCTTTGAATCTAACCCTTTTCTGAACAGGGATTGGTTTTGCTTCATTTAAAGCAATATTATGCTTTGACGATCCAGACAAGCAAGATTTGTTTGGAGGCGGAGGGAGATCTATACAAAAAAACAAATTCAAGAGAAGATAGCATATGTTGAAGACACCAGATGTTGAGATTATCGTCATACAGAATAATGACAATGCAAAAGATGTAGGATATATAGAAAAATAACAGATCAGATCATCCATTCAAGCAACCTACCTGCTATCGGCTTTGAAGATGAATCACCATAAAATCCAGGAGGGGGAACTTGAGCTACTCGCTTTTTGGGTTGAGGGCCAGTAGGAATTTCAACAGGTTCAGGAAGTGCACACTCCTCTGGCTTGCTCTTATCCCAAGACATATTCATATCTTGTAATGGAGACTTGGTAGGGAGATGGATTGCTGGTTTATTCTTTAGTTTAGGAATCTTGATACTTCGTATATCACGACGACTTTTTGGTCTGCTTGCAGGAGAACACTCATCATTGTCAACTAAGAAAGACCCTCTGTTGGATGAAGTGACCTTAATTTTGGCTGGTGCAGTTCTTTTTGATTCTGAGTTCCCTTTGTCTTTAGATGCATTTTGAGCAGCAACTTCTGCAAGCCTTTCTTTCCTTAAAGCCTTCTTGTCTTTAGGCTGTACTGATTTACTTACTTTAGAATCTAGAGGTTTTTGTTTATCACCTTCGAACATTTTAAGTGCTGTGGTACTGCTTATTCCACGATTGATTGCTCTTCGGGGGGGCATTGGTAAAGCAGGTACTAACTCAATTTGTCTGGTGCTCTTCTTTTTTTGAAGAGGAGAACCACTGGGACTATCCGAAGAGACAAGACCAAAGCGCTCACATGTTTTGGGATCATCCTCTATTCTTGTGAGAGTCACTAGTGGCTGAGGATGTTCGTTACTTATATTACCAAGGGCTATCTCCTCTGAAGGAGGTGGAGATTTTGAATCATCCTTATGGGAACTTTCTGGATAATTATCCATACTTTCATCTGAATCACTGTCTGGAAACATTTCTCTCAATTTCGCACTTTGTGTAAACTCGTTTTTATTTTTGAGTTCTTGTTTAAAAGAATGGCTATTAATATGAGACCTGTGTTTTTCAGTGTTGGTGTCCGTACTTTTTGTTCTATGCTGCTCCTTTTTTTTCCTATGTTCAAGGTCTTTCATATCTTTCTCTTTGGAGGACTTCTTCTCTTTTCCACTCTTTCTCTCTCTTTCTCTTCTTCTATCTTTTTCTCTAACCCTTTCTTTTTCCCTCTCTTTTTCTCTAGCTTTCACAGATTCTCTGTCCTTGTGCTCATCTTTAGATTTCTCTTTTAACTTTTCTTTAGGTTTATGTTCAACCTTGATTTCAGCCTTTGCTTCTTTAGGTTTATGTTCAACCTTGATTTCAGACTTTGCTATCTTCTGTTCTTTCGATTCCTCTATCTTACAGACACCAGGAAAATCAGTAACTTTCTTTTTGATCTGAGGCATCTCAGCATCCTCCTCCGACTCAATATTCCAGATATCTTGTAACTGGTCCTCATGTCTCGGGTCCTTATCTTTTTCATTATCTTCTCTGGCATCAGTTTCCAGAATATTACTTTGCTCCGGGACATTTAGATTGTCTTCCAAAGGCTCCTTTTTCACTAAGGACTGCGATAACCTCATGTACCACCTGTTTGCATCTTCTATATCATCTTCATCTTCGTCACTAGATAAGACTATCTCATCTAGTTCATCGTTATTGGAAATCTTATTTTCTTCTGGCTCATCCTCCATTGAGAGGTCTACAATATCAGCTTCTTCCCGTAAATCTTCTATCACAGGTTTCACATCATCATCTTCCGCAAACAGCTGAGAACAGGGGAAAATCTCTTCATCCTCATCATCACTTGAATCTACAGGTATCATTTGTTCATCTAGAGTATAATTTGCAGATGAATCTTGACTATGTCGGGATGAATCCTTCACAATGGGTGACCAATCAGCTTCACTTTGAGATGTACAAGTAGATGTTTGCTTCTCAATTTTTGAAACACAGGGAGTAGATGTCTGCACTGGCAAGGCATCTTCATGGTTGGCTTGCTTAGAAGTGTTGGGAGTTGAGCAGGCAGATGACGAGGAACCCCTCTCAGTCAGTGATGGAGAAGAGAGCCTGAAAGTTCCGGCTGACATGTCAGATCGATCTTCCATAAGACATGAAAGACGAGGATTTTTAGGCATAGTTATGCTTTTGTCCAAACTAAAACGCCCTGGTATAGTATTTGAAGAAGCCGCGGGAAGAGGAGGAGGGCACATTTGCTCCCCAGACGATGGTGAAGACAATTTTATCTTATCGCTTGTTGCACTGTCTTTCAACAGAGACCCTTTTGAAAAATTCACAGGTTCCATTGATTTTTCATCAATTTTGAAAGAATGAGATTTCATATCAGCTGATGTCATTTGAGGAGCATTGGCTGAGGTATTTAAACCCAAAGAACTTTCACTTTTATTAGGTTTCACGTCAGCACCAACTTTCTTTTTAGTGAAACTCTCTTGCATAGAACAGATAGAATTTATGGTGTCAAGACTTTTCTTTTCAATGTTGCGTTTCTCATCAACACTGGCTTCCTTCATAGTGAGGCTTTCTTCCTTAGTACAAATAGAATTAATGATGCCAGGACTTTTCTTTTCAATGGTGCAAGCTTTAGACTCATTCTGAACCATGGACACTGTGGACAGGCTGGCTGAACTAGAATCCATTTTTGAATCAGGAACTGAAGTTTGCACATGATCAATTTTTGGTTTTTTAGATTTTTTAGAGTCACAATCATCAAGAAAAATATCATCATCATCATCATCCAAAGTAACTACTTCAGGCTCCGTAGCAAATCGTTTCAGTCCTCTATCTAATGAATGCCTTACTCCAGGAGAGTTGCTATTTCCTTTAACCTGAATTATTATTTTTTTTAGAGAAAGAAGATTTAAAGTATAGTTGAAATTAAATATGTTTAAGCTGAACTTGGAAATGTAATTAGAATGCAATGGTCATATAATGAGCATATATATCCAATTACGTACATTTTCTATATGTCCATTTGTGCTATCTTCTTCTTGCCGTACTTCATACACAAAGCAGTCTTTGTTGTCACAATTGATATTCCCAATACCAATTTCATCACCAACCTTCAGGGGAAACTCCTCACCAGGAGTTATTTTTGTTTGATTCACAAATGTTCCATTAGAAGACTGTAAATAACAAAACGAAAAAGTAACAAAATTGACATTTGTCAGCGGTGACAATTCAGACCCTTAGTCCCAAACACTTACCCCATGATCTTTTAGACAGACATTTCCACCTTCTTTAGGGATTATTGTTAAATGCTTTCGAGACACATACATGCTAAGACAGTGCACAGAGCACTCTCTTCCCCTACCAACATGTAACTGAAAATAAAGAAAAGTCCATTTAAACTTACGGAAAAGGATAAATTAAACATTCCTGCCCACTTCTGTTAAAATATAGTTTATAGACTCATTATCTTCCAATCAGAACTGAAATTTATTTTCTGACTAGGCCTTATTTAGTTCCTCACCGGCTACTGACCTCATTTGAATGTATGTCTATTCTTTGCTCTTCAGTTAAACCCGGATAAGGCTTTCGTAAAAGAAACCAACCCATTTTGAACTTCGTTCGAAGATCACCCTCAGACAATGAGTGAACTGCAATAAATAGTGGAATGTATTAAAATACACGGCTCGAGTCAAATGTAATAAACACAATGGAAATACAAAACAATTAGCTTATCAGATAAATCATATTCCTTCTATTAAATAGTATTAAACTACGAAAAAAGGTAATATTGACACATGGTGCTACAAAGAGAGGTGGCTCAAAGGTTTTGATGAGGAAGGGTTCACCGAATATGTTTTACCATTGGAAAGATAATGTTTCAAAATGATTGGCCTAACATGTTCTAGTCATGTAGACAGAAATTGTTTAGTTAGAAAATGTTGAGATCCAGTTGTAGGTTAGAGCACAACAACAAAAATCTACTATTCAGGCAGGCATACCAAAATTTACAGCATACAGAATCGACATGAATTGAAAGAAAATAAACAAAAGTAATGAGATGTAAAATTATTTCGTTCTTTCGCAAATGTCACTTTAGTTGTAGGTCGAACATCCCTCTGGAGTCAGATTCAATATAAGTTCTGTTGACGACAATGGTCGAGTCGTCACGTCAATCTTCAGCCTCCTCTCGAATAAAACGTCAGGACCCTTTCAAACTGTTCTATTGAGTGAACCGTTTAGCTTCACTAACCATTCAAAATAAAATATAAATAAACACAAAACCATCCAGCCCTCCAGCCCTTAATCTCCCGCCCCGCGTTGTTTCATGTCACACACTGCTGCGCAGAGTAAACACAAACACATTGGATTTGGCACAACAGCTGGTTGTGAGAGGCTATAAAGGTGCCACAACTATGAGAAAGTTAGGCCCGGAGAACCACTCACCCCTAGCTGGCTGGGAGCCCAGGGTGGACTGTGTTTCTTACATTTTTTTCGTATAAATGGATCAACGGAATATGATTTGTCGAACACGTTAATATTTTTTCAGATTTCTTGTGTCTATCACGCACGCTTCCGCTCCGAGCTGCTCCGGGGCGCGGTCATCATAAAGTGCAAATCCCGCCCGCGATGCTGGTTGCCTAACTCCTAGGAGTCAGGGGGGCACACCGAAGGCTCTTATGAGCCATGAACGGGCGCACCATCAGTCGACCTCTCGAGGTGGTGAGCAACGTGAGCAGGCGGGAGCACTGCGGATGTTCTGCTTTTCCAAGGTTCAGGGCCTCGCTGCTGCCTCCCCTTCCGACCGTAATTGAATATAACATCTCTGACCATAGAGTCACCCTCACGCCTAGTCACTCATTGTCTCTAACTGAAATCGTAAAAGGGTGAGGAATCATCCGCGAGAGGAGGGGGGGGGTGTGCCTCAGCGTCTAACAAGGCACTTTAGTCATCCTCCGGGTCAGGGGACGCTGGTGTTGAGCCCCGCCCGATATGAGCGCTCAAGGGGAGCTGCCCCATGAGTGCGACGAGGACGAAGCTACCTATACGGAAGGCATAGGAGAGCGCTCTTCGGAATCAGTCGGCTGGTCGGGCGTACGGTGGTCCGGCGGGCGCCGATAGGGCGTGGCTCAAGTCCAGCATTCCCAGGTCAGATCGAGCATACCTAAATCCCTGGGGTTCCGATTCGAGTACCGGATGACCGGGTGGGGTGGGTTTGCCTACTCGCCCTGCCCGTAAGGCGCCATGACCCCTGTAAGTAGGCAACGCAACCCCGCCGGCGCGTGCACCGAAACAACCGGTATACGAGCAAACAAAGTAGCAGGAGGTGCAGCTCCCGGTAGAGGGGTGGATAAGTAGGAGGTACGTACTTACACGGCGTCTTCGAGGACAGCAGCAGCAATCGTGGCACTTAGGCAGGGTGTCGACGAGTGTGGCCAAGGCGTATGGCGTGCGCAGAGACCGGGAGCTGACGGGAAGGTCTCATGGTGCTCTCGAGTTGGCCGTCGAGGAGGGTGAAGGGCGGTCTCAGTGCGGACTCGGCTGGGTGTCCGGAGGTCCTGGTCCGCACGTCTTGTCTCTCCGGGAGCCGGCGGTGTTCTGTCTTCCCCTCGGATCGACACCCCATCGCTAACACACTGCCGCAGCCACCCACTTCCACCCTACCGAAGGGGGATGATAGGTTATAAAATGCTTCTGAGTTTATGTCTTTTCTGCCCAGTCCCGATGCATCGTGATGGCTCGGGGACAGATCTGCGCTGGCGGCCCACGCCACGCCGCGCAGCTAGTTTTACGAGCGTAGGGGTGCGGAAGTGTTCCCCTGGCCCATCTGGCGCCGAACTATTTTATATATGCCTCGGTTGATTTCCTCAGCGCTTGATTCCTCTGCCCAGACTCGACCCAGAGCGACACTTATATCGAAACTATACCGTTTCCACGTCGATTCTTTGATTTCGACATCGTTTCGATGTTTATTTAACTCTGATTTCTCACTGGATGGCGTGCCTCTACCGTCTGCCGCGTGGATGCTGTTGACTACAAAACTGCTGGGGCTGCTCTCCGCGACGAGTGTGTGTCCTGGCTTGTTCAGCTCCCGAAGGACTTCCCTGCCCGCGAAGGGCGGGGACAGTAATAATTGGTACCCCCGTTCATTACAATGAATACTTAGTACACAGTTTTATTTACTTCTCCATGTAATTTACATCGTGCCACTAAACAGGTTCGATCTAATTAAAACTGAACAGGGTAACAAAATAACAACAATACCTAAGAATAAACGGAAATTAGAACAAAACTTATAAAGTGAGAAATTCAACATGTATAAATATTACACAATTATAACAGAAGTGATGTGCCAATTTACTGCTTAGTTTTAGTTTAACAGGATAACAGCCGTCATAAATTAAAATTAAATATGTAACAAAGGATTGGAAATATACAAAATATACATCTAATTGAAACGGGTTTCACACAAGAAGCGTTCGAATAATAGCGTCTCATGTTTTTGCGACCAATAAGAGGGTCTAAAAAATGTATAGTAATTTCTCACCGAAAGGGCCAAGATAAAGTAGTTACAAGTTCATTTTGATTATTTTGAGACAGAATTAAACGGTACTGCAACGCACATGATGTCCCCTCAACTCTACAGATACCAGCCTCGCGACAGTTGTTGGGTGCGACGCTTGACTGCATGTGGTATACCATCCCTTCTCTTTCTCTCCCTTTCTCCTGTCAATACTACCGCCTTCACTCTATTACTACCGACCATCCAATCTACTGTCCGATCCGCCACCCACGCAATGACACCCGCACGAACTCATACACATACGGATGCGGATGATGCATCTCCTACTTCAATAGTCACACACTAAATCATTCTTATCGCAAATCTTACGCGATATATCGCAAAATAAATCTAACGCTTGAACAATAAATGTACATCTAAACCAACCACGAGTGTGGTGGGGAATAAAGCCGAACTACTAGACACCAAGAACATCTAGAAATGATAAAGAATTCGAGAATTTGAGAGAATGGCAAAAAGGATGAAATGTAATTGAATGAAAAATCGGAATATTGAAAATCACAAAGACATACTACAATGAAATCTACACACATAAAAGCGTATTTGAAATTTGTAAAAATGAAAGAAAATATTGGATAACGCAGAACATTTGAAACAATTACCGATCACTAAGCTAGACAAACACTGAACGTAATGTAACGGAAATAATTTTAAGAACATCTAGGAAAAATTGTAATCGGAATAAAACGGAGATCGAAGAAGTTTAAAAAATGATTGTAAAAATTGAAACTGGAAGAAAATTGAGAAATTCGTAAAACGCGGAGGATTGGCAAAAAGCGGGGAAACGATACAACAGCAACAATACACAATGAAAATAATATTAAAAGTTAAAAGCGGGATCAAAGCAGATGAAATATCTGATTGAAACGTTAAAAAGTCGAATGAAACAAAACGAAAAAGAGACATGAATTGCTAAATGGAATTGTTTGAAACCACATCAACACGAAAAAACTTGATATATAAGAAGAATGAGAAAGACAAAAACCCTACTCGCACAGGTGCCTGGAATTGGATAACGGACCGGTACCCGTCATACTCTAATCGTCAAAACCTCTTCGCTTACAACTATCCGGCCTTACACACACTGCCACTTCCGGCGCAAAGGGGAGCATCGAGAGGGGATGGTGCCCCATGCAGACAGCGAGCTGTTGGCTTCAGACTGGTTTCTGGCTTTTGTGCGATGAGACCATCCTTCATATAAATAAATTAAAAAAAAACTGTCCATGGACGCCAAGGCACCCAATCTAAACCAAGGTCGTTGAAATATGGTTCGTGAAACTGTTCGAGACAAATAAAAAAAATACGTAAGAAGAGTTTAAAAAAATGAAAAGCCGTCGGGTTTGGAGTGTCGCGGCTCTCAGTCGGACAGAGGTCTCTCTCAGTTTGGTCCGTCTACTGCTCCCCCTAGTGCGTCTTGGAGTACGTGTCCTTGTCCTTGTAGCCCTGCACGTAGCCCGAGCCGTCCTTCGAGTCCTTCCGGCCGGCGAGGCCGCGGCCCTTGCCAGCCTCGTCGAAGCGCTGCTTGTGCGACCCCGTGTACTTGGTCACATCCGTGAGCCGCTCCACCGCCGCGTCCGCCTTCGACTTCGCCTGAAAACACACAGAGGGCGGGGTGTCCTAGAGCATAGCCAGATATCTGCAGGATGAGGCAGTGTTGTGCCGCAACCGGCCGCCGGCCCTGGCCGGGTCACGGTCGCGCGCCGGCCGGTCGTGTTTTTGTTACTTCCTCTCCCGGCCGATGTGAGTCACCCTCCCCAGCACCCCCTCCCTCCCCTCTCCCCACATCCATCTCCCTCCCACTCGCCGTACCACAGCAGCCGTTGTTCGTGGAGTCGTCGGTCAAAGCCGTTTGGTTATTTCAGACCAGCTTGGTGTGGGGGAGGGGAGGGGCACCCTAATCGCCAGCGGCATGTGTGCACTTGAGGCGCGCGCGAGGGAGAGGGGAGGGGCCGGAACCGCACACCTACTCCTTTCCGTCTTGCGCCCCCCCCCCCTCTCTCCTCTTTCTCTCTCTCTCTCTCTCTCTCTCTCTCTCTCTCTCTCTCTCCTCTCTCTCTCTCTCTCTCTCTCCTTTCTCTTTCTCTCTCTCTCTCCTTTCTCTTTCTCTCTCTCTCACACACACATGACGCCGGGATTGATGTGAGAAGCGGCCCTGCGGCGCCGGGTCGAACGGCGGCCGGGCAAACGTAAAGAGAGACCATGGGAGAGCAAGAGCAGGGAGAGCGCCTCCACTGGCGGCCGTACTCACCACCGCACTTGTCACTCCCGGTGGCCCGCAGTCCGCCATCTTCTTCTTGAGCTCCTCCACGTCCGCCTTCCGCGCCTTCGCGAGATCTTCGATGAACTTAATGTAATCGGACAGGGTAATTTTGAGAAGTCTGCAAAAAAACAAAGAGAGGTTTGGGTTGCGTCAGATCGGAGTGTGTCCAAATGTCATCGCTGCGCTGCGGCCGGGCCCGCTCGGCCGCACGGCCCCTGTGGGGGTGGCGTAGGCACACCCGCGGCGCTCGAGTGCCGCGCGGGGTGGCCTACCCCAGCGGCCGCAGGGGCTCGACCCGGGGATGGACTCACTTGAACTTCTTGAAGTGGATGCCGGTGTCGGTGGTGGTGATGGTCTTGTCGATGACCTTGGCCTGCTTCATCCACTTGTCGCTCTGGGACAGTGTAATGTGCTTGCCGTCGCTCTTGGTGTCGCCAAACTTGCTGAAGGCCTTGAACTGTTCCTTGAACGCGGCGCTGGGGGGCGAGGAGGCTGCTGGTGCCGCGGACGCCGGCGGGGGCGTCGCCGTCCCGTTGGAGGCGGGGGCGGCGCCCTTGGGGGCGTCCTTGGGTGCCTCCTTGCTGGCGTCCTTGGCGGCATCGCCTGCGAAATGGGGCAGAACATGGCAGTGACGTGTCGCGGCACAAAGAGTGGTGAGAAAAGAATGGGTGGGAAGTTTTGAATCATATACTCCCATTTTTTCCAGCAGACTTGACTTATTTGTGAGAAACAGAATTTTCACTTTTTCCGAACATCACCGACGAAGAATGTTTTACCTTCTGGAGTTGTCTTTGCCGCCGAGTCGGCCATGGTCGACAGGGAGCTGCAACAAAAGAGAAGACCCATTACTTGACTGGCCCTTACATTAGAACACGGCACGAAGCTCGAACGAACACTCCAAATCAAGTCAAACTATTTTTTCTCTCCAAAAATATGTATGTCGTTTTAAGCACATAATAACTTGCTGGAACCAAAGTTGCACCCAGTTTTAATGAGACCTACTTCCATCCGATCTTACTGTACAATCCGTCTCCAACGATATTACAAAATAAGTCCCCGCAAAAAGAATGTGCCCAACAAACGTAACATTTTCCGGGAGAAAACTGTTACATCTTCACATTCGTTTACATTCAGTGTGAGGGCATTACACGGCAGACTGGAACTTCTGCCCTTCACAACACAGCGCACAATCCGTCCAATACGTCGCGTAAAAGCCGGGACAAGACCGCGCGCTCCGGAGAAAGGTTGAACACTGGACAGCGCGACAACACGACCAGGAGCAGCCGCAGCAGAACTCGCCGCACTCCGCACACAAGCGCTGGCAGGCGACTTCCATAGTATTTCCAACTGCCGACTTTTGGTTCTCGAACGATGAAGCGAAATCCGGCAGGACGTGGAGCTGGGGCTCGCCGCGAGAGGGGAGGGCGTGGTCTGGGCGCCACCGCGCGCGGCCCGGCCTCAGGCACGGCGACCTTTACCATCCCACAAGGGGTGAGCGAGGGAGGGAGGGAGGGAGGGAGGGAGGGGGTGCACGGCGGGGGTGCTTGAGAAGAGCGGGCCAGCACCTCGCGACCAGCACGACAAGCTCATCGGCCGCGTGGGCGGGCGCGGGCACGAACACAATAAGCACGGTGAGATTTCATAATTTTCGGAACGATGTCCCCTATGCCCATGGGTCGGAGCTCCACCAGTGCTACACCAGAGGGGGTTGGGTTGGCACTACACCCCCCCCCCCTCGACCTGGCAGCCTCGTGCGGCGCCTTTCTGCTGTACGGGAAATGAATGACCCGTCCGTCCTCGGCTCGCCCCCTCCCCCCTCTCCGCCCTCCCCACTCACCCCATTCGACCCCCGCCTCCCACCCTCACTTGTAGGGGCTACGATAGGCGTACGGCTACCGGTGGGCTGGGCAATTACATGTCACAGACGAGTATCGACCCCCCCCCCCCCCCCCCCCCAACCACCCCGGAGCCGCTGGTGCGGCCGACCGGACGAAGCGCGCAACAACTCGCTGGTGACCCCGTTCTCCAGGCCCACCCCCGCCCCCGCCAGCCCCAACGTGCCCTGGCTGCACCCCTGGCCCGTGTCCTGCTCCTACCGCGTGCCCTGCCGTGGCTGTCACACGCACTGGTGTGTTGTGTAACTGGCCATGAGTATCGGCTGCCGATGCCTGCATGTGCAACGTCCTTTCAGGCACAATTCCACATTCAGACGAGGGGTATTTTCAATAAAAATGATATCAGCTCTATACCGTGAAATAAGTGACTGCTGTTATATTCCCTCGATGAAATATTAGGCGCGTTTAAAATTCCATCACCCAATTTGGCAGTGCAGGTCAGGTTATTCAGGCGTGCGGGCTGGTTTCTCTACCCTACCTAGTAACATGAAACTGTCGACGAATATCCAATCGACCAAGTATCGGATCGATCGATATTGATGATCCGATAAGATGATTTTACGACAGACAATTTTATCGCGTCCATTAAAATTAGACTTTAAAAATATATTTTACTTTTACTATTCAGCGTCCCAAATCACCCTGACAGTTCCTCGCTAGCGTCCTCACAGTCAAGCGTGGTGCCTTGTGTCCGGCCCGGACGATAAACTATAAGAAGCTGTCGAGAGAGAACGTCCGTTTTTCTCAGATTCATTCGGCAGATCATGGGAGCTCAGGCTCGGCGCCTGCGAGACTTGGGGTAGGCCGCCCCGCAGTACACGTATGCAGTGCATGCAAGATGTTGCCTACCGACCAGGCGCTCTGAGAGCTTTGCAGACGCTGAACTTGGCAGGTTTGTAACGGTGAATAAAGGAACTTTCCACATTATCCGTAAGTACGATGACGATCGGAATATATCGCGTATCGTTGTTTCAGACTAAGGCAGCCTCAAGTGAACTCACAACCCGTCTAGAATTTGCAATGCAACGGTCGCCTGATGGGCAAAATATTTTATCTTGTCGTGGCATATCCCCCGAATGGTGGCGCTGCTGCTGCCAAAGTGTTTTCCGAAGGTTCACCCATCAGTCACACCTCGGCTGCATCGACCATCGACCCGACCAGCCATAATGCAGGGGCACGTCGACACTCTAGCCGACGGAGCCGACAAGGTGGCAGTGAGAGGGTGACGGCGACAAGTACCTGCGGCACATTTCTGAACTCCTCAACGCAACGACGCCAAAACATCATCGAGTATCGGTGAGAGTCGAAGCGAAGACATGCTGCCACCACTTGTTTCAAAGCTGCAGCCGATACTTTCGCTAGGAGTGAGGAGCAAACTGTGCTCCCTCTGAAACAGCAACCTTTCCATTTTTCTTAAAATATAAAAAAGGTTGTTGCTTTCTCATTTGCTGCGAAACAATGGTCGGTATCGAACCCGTGCCCCATGTCGTTGGTCGTGTGTGCGGGCCGCCGGCGCGCTCTCACAGCCCTGCTCCTTGTGGGGGGCCCAGCCCGCCCAGCCCAGCCCAGCGGCGCCTCTGCGGTCCCGCCGCGGCGCTGCAAGTAAGTGATAACATCCCGGGGGCTCTCACATGTGGAGCGGAGGACACGTGGGAAATAACGCCTCGAAAACAAAAGCTTTCCACTTCGTCCGGCCGGCCGGGACCAAACGCCGCGGGCGGGGCCTCCCGTTTCGCGCTCGTTCCGCGCCCGGCGCAGCCAAAGGGCCTTACCAACCAACAGGCACTAAAAGGAAAATAACAGACAGAAATAACAGCGCGGCTTTTCTTTTCTGGCGCGCGCCGTTCAGTTTCGGTTCAGAAAACAATGGTAAGCCAAATCACGACTTGACGCACGTCTGCCTGTCACACCTTGCTGCGTGTTTGTGTGAGTGAGTGTGCGAGAGTGAGTGAATGTGAGCGTCTGAGTGAGTGTGTGTGTGTGTGGCGGCAAACGGCAAACACTCCGTGCACTCGCCTGGCCTCTCTGTAGTGTACCTGACACGAGTGTACCAAACTATGGCGTCACCCAGCGCGTCGGGCGGGGCGGGCGGTCCTGGCTCGGGTCCTGGCCGCGGCGACCTTCACCCAGAGCTCGAGCCGCGCGCCGCACTCGCCACTCCCAGCCACACAGCCTCCCAATGATGAAGAGCGCACCAGCGGTTAGCACTCGTTTCCACGCGCCGTGTTGTGTGGGGCTCGGCCCTCAGCCGCTCTCCTCCTCCTCCTCCTCCTCACCGTCCCCATGCACTAGGTGAGGTCAGCACGGCTCTTAACGAGGACTCGCACAGGGCTCGGTGAGCTTGCACGGCCCTCGCCGTGCGTGTCGCGTGACCAGGGACGTTTCGGGATGGGCGTGGCTGCGCTGCAGCGCGTCGGCTCACTTTGGGCGTGGCGAGGCGGGGCGGGGCGGCGCGGGGCGGGGCGGGGCGGCAGCGATTCCCCTAGCGTGCACCGTTCTATCAGTCGGAACCGCCACCAGCCGGCGCGGCCGCGGCTGTGGTGAGCCTCCGTGCGGCGAGACTGACTGCTCTCCTTCACGCTCCGAGTTCTGTGAGGCTCATCGGCTTTGGCACGACGAATACCAATAACTCACGAAGGGCGCCGGCGCTTACATGACCCGGGCCCGCGATCGCGTGCGAGAGGCGGCGGAGCGAGGCGGGGCGGCCAGCCCTATTGGGGGCCATTTTGGCCCCATTGGTTTACGTTCAACAGGTTCGGCGAGAGAGAGAACTCCCTGAAAACTGAGGGTTCACCACGCCGCTGCACGACACCCGAGGACGACACGGCACCTTACTATAGCCGAGACAGGTTACACCTGCTCGTACACCTGCATTCGATCGCAGGGGGAGGGGTGGGGGTGGGCCGCAGCCCAAGATGGCTGCCGAGGCATGATTATGGATGGATGGAGAAGATCGCAAGAGGACGCGTGATAATAAGGCACACTCAAACCCAGCGTGCGCGCTGCCTAAACTGCATGTCATTTCATGTTGTTTCGGTTTCAATGGACCCTGAGAGAGCAAGGGATCTCCTTCGCAGTTCGCATCCAGTCGGCGCCATAATTCCTTTCGCGTCATTGCCCTCCTGCCCCCAGGCCCCAGGGGGATCCAACGAGGAAGCAAAAAGTGTCATGGCGGCCGTTCGGCCACAACTACCCCCGCTCCGCGCTCCAGCTCCGGTGGAGAATCAAAATGATCGAAATAGTGACAGTTTGAGGAGGAAGGACCGAAAGCCGGAAAGATGATCGAAGGCGCCCGATTCGGGAGGGCAAGCCCTCAGCCAGAGCCGCGGAGAGCGCCACCAGAGAACGCCATGAATCACTTGTCAAACGAGCGCCATGACGGGCGGGGCCGCGGGGCGGAGCCGAGGGGCGGAGCCGAGGGGCGGCCGGAGGAGATGACGCGCGGAAGCGCGCTGCGCAGTAGCGAGCGACACACCAAAGAGTCCATCAGTTTCCGATAACAAGGAGAAAAAGATGAAGTTTTGGATGTTTGTGAACGAGTAGTGAACATCGAAAATAAAGGCGTGAGGGAGGGGAGGTTTGTTTGGGATTACGCAACGGCCAGGCAGGGGGCTCACGCACCCTGCACCCCTTCCCTTACGCAATCATTGCAGCAGTGAATATTTAATGCGCGCCCCACACCCTAGGGCGCCGCCCGGCCCGCCGCGCCTCCCGCCTCCAGGCCACCTTGCAGGGGGCAGGCGAGACGTAGGACGGGGGTAGGACAGCAGGTCGGGCGGAGGAACGAGAGCCACGGCGTCATCGCGGGCTCGAGCACGGGCCGGCGGGCGGGCGGGCGGACGGCGCCACGGGCCCCGGCCAGCCAGCCCCGCGCAGGCAGGCCAGAGGCAGGCCACGGGGGTATTGATCGCTATCGGAATGAGCTGAGCTGCCCGCTGCACTCCGGCCGAAGGGGAGCGCACGGCACGGCTTGATCAAGGGGCGCGCGGGTCCGTGGGCAGGCAGGTGACCGGGCAGGTGGTCAAGCAGGTGGACGGGCAGGTGGTGGAGGTACTTGCCGTGCGGCGCTGATTCCCTGCGGGCCCGGCGCGCTGCGCCCGCCCCGGCCGGACCGCTGCAGCTGCTGCACGCTCCCTGCCAAGCGGACGCCTTGTCACCGACTGATAGGGCCCAGCTCAACGCGGCGCGGGCCGGGCGGGCCGGGGGCGGGCGCGGGGCGGAGGGGAGGCGGCGGGGGGAGAATGCCACAGCCGCTGCATCCCTCATCCCCCCTGGACCCACCCCCGGCGACGGGCGCGCACGGCAACGCCCAGCGGCCACCTCCACCGCCGCGCCGACCGAGTCGGGGATGGGAGGGGCGAGGCGGGGCGGGCAGGGTTGGCAGGGCGGGCAGGGCGAATCCATGCCCCGCGGGTGGAGTGGGCATGACCCAAGGGAGACGCTGAGGACTAACCTATCTCCCGACCAGGGTTGTTGCCCGGGTGGCGGGGGTGGGTTGAGGCGGCCGCGCACAACGCCTAGGGGTAGGGGATGCTCAAGCTTGGCTCGCTCAGCTTACCCGAATTGTAAAACTCCAGGATGAGTTTCCCCTCAAGCGCTCGACTCCCCCCCCCCCTTTAGATCGGCTGCCAGGCGTAAGACCTCATGCATAACCCAACGCGCTGCCAAAACCTGATCTGTTGAGCCTCGCGGGCCTAGCGAGGCGAGGCGGCGGCTGTTGGGGAAACGCCTTGCCGCCTCCTTCAGTTCCTCCCAGAACGTCCGCCTGCACGTATACGTGTACCAGTCACTGTGCGTTGGGCACTTTCGAGCAGGGCCTGGCTATAGGACGTCTGTGGCGTCGTGGGTGGCGCAGGGGCAGGGGGCAGCCGTTCGGAGAGGGTCCTGGGAGCGGGGCGGGGCGGGGTGGGGCGGGGCGGCGGCTGAGGCGGCGAGCGCTTCCAGCATTGATCGCACGCCGCGCACGCGCACGCCATCCCGCCCCGCCTCGCCCAGCCCCGCCGACCGAACGACACGCCATGTTCTGCGAGTTACGCGGGCGTGCCGATATCCCACGCCTCAGGGCGCCTTCCTCAACCCCACGCCTCCTCCCCAGCATCCCTCCCGCTCCCCTGAGCGCGGGGTAAAGGCGGATGGACCCGCGCCCGCGGCGAAAAGCCTCGCAAGCTGCAGTTGTTCTCCGCGGCGGGCCAGCGCAACGGCCTCCTCTATCGACCGGGTGCCTGCTCGTCGGTACCCTCCTCAACCCGGCAGCCCGGCGCCCGGCAGCACCACACGGGTACCAACCACACACGCCACCACTGTCTTGCGCTAGGCCAAGAGCGAGGTCCGCGGCTCATTGACTTGCACCAATATTTTGCTACAAATTGACCGCTTGAAACCTATGAGATAAGAATGATAAGTGCTGCGGGAGACAAACTAACGCGCAGAGTAGCAAACCAGTGTCAAGAGCGTCCTCTGAGAGCGGAGTGTTGCGGCTGAGGGCCGAGGGGTGAATAAGCAGAGGCTGTTCAGTCAGTTTGGTACGGCTTCCCTTTGACAATAAGCCTCCAGGGCTTCTCAACCCCACTACCTGTTGAAAAAGAAACACACTTCCCCACGGATCACTGACATTCCGCCTGTCAAAAAACACAACACTTTTATCTATTTATGTATTTTATTTATCCCTTAACGGATGTACGAATCAAACGATCACTTGATTCTGATGTCGGCCTAGAAGGACTCCTTTTAAGTCGGAACCAAAATTAGTTATCAGCCTTAAATTTCACAAAAACACGAGTTGGGGAAATGATTTTTTCATTTTCTTGTGTTATTGACTTGTCCCACCGAAACTCGAAACAATCAGTGATAAGCAACCAGGACGTGTGCTTCCAGATAACGCACTGTATTCAGCAGGTAATATCAGTGTTGGGGACACACACGTGCATCTCCCGGGGGAAGTTCCTCCGCATCGAGTCGTGACGGTCGGCGCTGGCACGGCAACTAACATGGCACCGCCCATGTGTGTTGGCGAATGTCGAGGACACACCTCATTGCTACAAACACTTGACAAGTAGTCAGTCTTCCTCGCACCACCGCGCGGCCCAGATAAAGATCCAAACGGCAATGCCTTCGAGATAAGCGCCACGAACCTCACCGCATAACGCGGGTCGTTTACAGTGTTATAGTTTTCATTTACATATCACTTTCACTCGCACTAGGCACCACCACAACCACCACTGCCACCAAAACCAAAACCAAAACCAACACGAACACGACCACCACAACAGCAGCAGCAAAATAGTCAACAACAATCTTGCACTACCGTGGACCGCGATGAGCAGCAGTCTGACTTTGCACAATAGAAACGGTCTTGGATCGGGCGGGGGCGTGGCAGGAGAACACCCACCTGATGCAGAACACCCGGGAACACCCCTCGGCTGGCACGCGTGCGCTGCGTGTGCCTGCGGGCCGCGCCGCTGGTGCTCGCGCGGGGCGGGGCGGGCGGGCTGCACGTACACCTCCGGCCGCTGGCGACGCTCAGCGGGGACTAGCCTCGCCCTCGCCTCGGCGCCCAGCAGCCGCGCGGCCGCGGCCGGGCAGTCAGAGAGTGGGAGAGAGAGGGAGAGCGCGAGAGACGCGTGCCCGCTAGTGCTCGCGCGGCGGCAGGGGGAGGGCAGGGCGGCCAGGGCGGCCAGGCGAGGGTGGGAGAGACACGACGGAGAGAGAATATTGCGAAGACACGGGCGGAAGAGCGAGGTAGAGACTGAGTCACCCTCAACTCACGCCTCGCCCCCTCCTACCCGCGCGGCCAGCAACCCCTCTCGCCCTCGCCCCTCCTCGACGAGGGGGTCGGCCTGGGTCAAAAGAACAAAGAGCGGGAGGAACCTACGTGTTGTGAATGGCCAATACAGAAAGCCTGTTAATTTTAAAGAGTACCGACTCGCTTTCACGGTCCGCTCCCTGCGGTGTCGCATGTGACATTCTATCCCGGACGCCCGGCGTTGGCGCCCGCCCGCCCGCGTCCTTTCTTTGTTCCGCTAGTGTCGCCTCTCTCGCCCCTCCCTGCTCGCCCTCGCCTCGGACTGTCCTGGGCGCGGCTCGGCGTCTGGTGCCGTTCTCAGAGGACAAGTGAACGCGTTTTGACGGGCGGCCCGGCGAATGAAAAAATAAAAATCACTGT